TTTTTTTTTTTTTTTATTAACCAGGGTAAATTTTTAAAAAGGTTGTTTGGTTAGTTGTTAGTGGAATTTTGAATTTATGCTAAAACAATATTTAAAATAAAATAATTGAATTTGATTTGATCTAAAAGTAGGAGAGAAAAGATGTAAAGTGATGGTTAGTTAAAATTACGTGAGTGAATGAATGATGAATGAAAATTGATTTGATGTGTAAGAATGATTTATTGATATTGTTTAATTATATTGATAATAATGGAAATAGTGGGGCTATATTAACGTTGAGATAGATTTTGAGTATGAATTGAGTTTATTTGTAAACAAACACACCCTTAGTGTATTGTTTAAACTAATGCTCGTTTGTTTGTCTTTTTTGTTTACGAATGGAACATTTCAGTGACTCGGTTTTTCTTAATGAGTCCAGGTGTTGAAACACCAGATATTAATCGAGGAGTTGATGCAAGAAAATGAGAAGCTTCGTCGAATATTGGTGGAAGAGTTAAAAGTACAACCAATCAAGTTCGAGTCTAGCTTCACGAGTAGTAGTAAGTCCTCATGTACCGACTGTTTTGAATGCCGTAGAAAACAAAGGAAGAGGTGAAAAAATTACGAATTTATCTTCCATTTTTATCGTCCTATTCTCGAAAATATAAAAAGCGTGTTTGTCCTAATTTCATTTCAATATTGAATGTGGGAGCAAATTTTGGTTGATCTCATGGAAGTAAGATAGTTCATGGAAGTTGCACGACATATTGAGTATTGAGAAGCAAATGTTCAAATTATTTATTGCCAAGTTGAAGTGATAATTTCTTTTTGAAAAAACGTAGTGTAAAATCTGTTATTATAGCATCGAAAATAATAAATTTAACCGGTAAAAACAAAATGAAACATTAAAGAATATTTTATAATATGATATAATAATAAATATAATAATAATGTGGATCGACCCATCACACTCTCCAAACAAAAATGCATACTTTCATATTTTATATTTTTTTTACGTTATTTTTTAGGATATTTTTTTTTTCAATAAAATTATATATTTATTAAAATAATATGTCACCTTAGTTAGGCTGCCCTAACATTTTTTTTTTTTTTTTTTAAACGTGAGAAATTGCATATGGCACGTCACAATCTTGATTCTATATTTATGTATAATTTTTTAATTACAAACTTACATTGTTTGACCATAACCTTAAGAATAATAAAGAAGAAAATTTGGTAACCACCAAGCAGTGGAGTAATTAGAGCTATAAACAAAATTTATTTATGAGGTACAATATTATTAACACTTTGATGAACAAAATTTACGTACAAAACATTTATTTATGTTACTTTTATGTATATTTATATGATAAAAAAATATTTTATATATATAACTTTGAAAATTGTAAAATTAACATTTTGGTTCAACAACTTCTCCAGTGAACCGATTACTTGAATGCCTTTCCGGCTCGATTCCCGAGCGGGGTTTCAAAACTATGCATGCAACACACAACATAATATAATAAACCACAATAATAGAAAATAAAATATTGAAAAAATAATAAAAAAATTAATTTAGCTAAAAAAAAAAAAAAA